TGGCTCAGGGAACTTACCTGCTTAGCAGATATGAAAAAAAATAAATAAATAAAATTGGCTTTAGACAATAGAATGAATGCCAAAAGATAGTGTATCATTGTTTATTAAATGGATGGACAGTAATTGCCATTTTAAAAGGAGGGACTTCATTCTAACATAAGCAGGGAAGATGTGGCAGAAATTGCTAGCCACATACCATTTTCCCCTTCTGTATGAATAAAACCTCAGTTTTGTTGAAAATCGCCATCTGCCCAGCTAACAGACTACATTTCTCATTTTTCCTTGAAACTAGGGGAATTATTATGTATATAATTATATAAATATATTAACACACACACACATACACACCAATAAATTCAGATATATTCTGGCCAGTGAAGTGTAATCATACTTTAAAAGGGAGCATGACTTCATTGGCACATGTCCTTTTGCCTCTATGCCAAAGCCTATTTCCTCTTTCTGCCTGGAAAGTGGGTGCTGTGTTGGGTATGTAATTAACCATTTTGTGGCCATGGCGCGAGTAATTCAGAGTCAAGACAATTACAAGGACCTTGGTATGGTTATCTTTAGCTGTTACACCAGTGACAGCAACTTTTCATTGAGTGAGAAAAGATGAATCACATAATTTATTTGATCTTCTGTTTTTGGAGATGCTGATAACTGCAGCTGAACTTAATTCAGAGGAAGGAGGAGATGGACTTGAGCTAGGTCATAGAAGAGGTAGTTCTGAATCTGTAGTTGGGTAGAGTGTTGTGAATACAACATGGTTGCAGAGATGCAAGTTGTGTTCAAAGATGTGTACTGGTCATTACACGTGGTCTGGGCCACAGAGTCCTGGACTCCTTTCCCAGAGCTGCAGCTTAACCACTTGCCTTCTGTGGTTCTCAGTTGTCGCATCCCAAACATAGAAATGTATCAGATTTTTCTAAAATCCTTTTCAGTTCAGAAATTGTGTGCTTCTAATTAATCCCATTTGGCTGATGATGAGAAGATCAGAATTAAAAAGGCACTAGGTCTTGCCCTTTTCTAATCACAAGAGAGCTCAAGTATTGATCTTTCTAAAATGAAATCTGATCAAATCTCTCCTTTGAGCTGCCCTTCAGCCCCCCACCCATACACAAAAGTTTCAGCCATGTCGAACTACATATAATCCCTTGATCTTGCCCTGTTCTCTTATTTCCTGGTTTTTACATGTGCTTTTCCCTTTGCCTGGAATGTTTTCTTTCTATTCTCCTTCCCTTTGATTAGCTAGTTCATACTTATTTTTTAAGTTTTGGCATAAAGGTCACCTTCCCCTGGAAGCCTTCTTTTAACCCCCAAGATGGAGTTAAGTGCCTGTGTCAAGTTCTGTCTTGATAGCTTGTGCTTATAAAAATTGTAACACCATTCGTAATATATTCAAATTACCTGTTTTGCTCACCTGTTTCCTGAATTAGAATGAATTTCCTTAAGGAAAGGAACTAACTTTTATTCCTTTTTTGTTTCTCCAGCCTTAGTATAGTATGGCAATACTCAATAAATAGTTATTTTGTGAATTTTTAGATAGATGAATTGGGACCAAATTATGGAAAGCCTTGAATGAGTATCAGGCCACTTGAACTTCTTATTCTTTATACTGCCCTGGGGAGAGGCTTTTATGAAGGGATCACTCATGATGGTAGATGACAGCATCATTCTCTACCTTGCTTACTCAATGAGGCACTATGGAATCATGGTGTATTTTACATAAAATAAGTAAATATATATTTTTGTACAAAATTATATTCCATCATATACAGGTTAAAATATACAACTTGTACTGGGTACCAAAGGTTTAAGACAACTTATGGGAGATAAACTTAAAATTCATAAAATTCTGTCAGACTTTTTCTATCAGTAAGGAAAAAACTATCATTATCTTAATTTTAGCTTCTGATTCTGTTTGATTCATCTTGCAGAGCACCTATGTTATATGGAATTATAAGTTAGAAAAACCTTAAATTAGAGAATACAATACAAGTTAAGAAAGGAATAAATTTAGCTATACCTTTGTATTATCCTACAACCATTTTGAAAGGTTTATTTCCTAGTATCAGCAGGAAGAATAAATGGTTAGGAAGTTTGAAGTCTTAGGCATCCTAGATTGTTCCTTCAGAACATCAGTGTTATTGCTGGCCGCAATAAAGTCATGAGCTTTCTGATAATTGACAAGGCTGCTGGAAATCAGAAGATTTATCTTGAAAGTCCTTTTTAACTTGTGTTATTTACATATTTTGTTTGGAATAAGTGGTCTGAGACAGACGTGGAATTTTAACATTTGCATGTCTTTGTAAGTCAAAAACAACTCATTGGGGAAAAAAATCATACTCTTACTAGTAGATTTAAAATATGTGTGAAATGGACCATTTTTCTCTCTCCTTTTGATACCCTACATATGGCCTGCCAGAGCTGTAAAAACTGCTCTGTCACAACTGTGGAGATATTTGCTTTATGTTACACGGAAACTATAATTTGAACTAAAGGCAAGACAGTATAGGGGAATTTTACTTATGAGATCATTGACTGAAATAGAAAATGATTTAAGAGAAGGGGTGGCGGTGCTCTAGGGACCCTGTATCTCCTGCTGAGCCACGCAGCCTCACTGCCAGGCATGGGCAACACTTGGCAGAGGAGTAGCAAGCGCCCTGGTGGGCCATTGTAGGGCCACGAATCTTCTGGAAAACCCTTACTGATTCTCCCTTTTCTGTCACTTCATTGGAGGGCAAGTGATCACATCCTCTATGCTGTCCTTCCTACTTTGTCAGAACAGTGACGGAAAATATCAAGAAGTCAGCCACTTATTGTTTATTTTCACTCTCAGGAAAACATGACCACAGTGCTTAGGAAGCTGCCTCTAGAGTTACCATCACATGGGCCCTTGGAAACCAGCAACATCCCTAGTATTGTCCGAATGCTCCTACCTGTAATGAATACAGAAATGCTAGAGCGCAGTTAAGGGAAATGGAGATTGAAATGCTATGAAACATTGTACTTAGGAAACTCTACTTCCCCTTTGCAATATTCCTTACCAAGCATACACCTCCAGAGAGTCTTACTGCTTAGATTGGAAGCCATCACCGCTGGTGTTTCAGGATGTCTGCAGAGAACAGCAGGTGGAGTTTCTCTGTACCTCTTACAACTTCTTGGAAGTAAAAAACAGGATAGTGGCAGATTTTCTAGACCTTTTGAAATATTCTGACAAACTGGAGAAGAGAGCTGAGTTAGAAATGTACATACGGTAAAGGCAGATCTATTTTTCACTTTAGGTAAATAATATGTGCAGAGGACTGGCTTGGTGGTTTGGAAGATGCAAAATTATATAAAGCACAGTTGCTCCCCTCAAGGAACTGACAGACTTGCTGAGGAAAATGAAATGGAAATGCACAGAAATGTTCATATTTTAAAATATGTGATAAGGAACACATAAGTGCTGACAGAAAATATAAAACCCTGGATCACTTTTTTTTCAAAGGAGTTTATTTTTCCAATCTAAAAGCAAAACATGAAGCTTTGCATATTATATTTGCATGGTTAAATATGAAAGTAAAACTTATAAATATATATATAGTTTAAATTTGGGGTTGCTTCTCAAGACTTTATGTACATGTACCTTTTTTGTTCAGTGCAGGAGTTGTTAACCCAAAGCTATGGCCTCTTTGAAATTTTTCTGCAGAATTTGGTGGGTATGTAGTTTTCTAAGGAAAGGACATAAGGCTTTCAACAGATTCTTAAAGGGTTCTATGAGAAGAAATTTAAAAGCACCAATTTATAGAACATCTTCACAGACTCTTGTCTTGGCTTCACAAGACCCTTCACTTCTCTTCCATTTCAATCCATTTAACAATCACCTATGACATGAAAATGATTACATGCTTTTATTGATTGGATTTATTACATTAAAGTTTATATGCTATGTTCTTAAACTGGAAAACAAATAAGTTTGACCTGTTAAACTAGATTCATTTATGAGAGAGCGCTGCACTATTATTATATAAAATGGTATATTATTATACCATTTTACAAAAAAGGAAACTAAGGTTCACTGAGTACCCGCCACCTAATAAGTTATGAAACTCTGGTTAATTCCCTGTCTTAAGTCTGAAGCTTGTGCTCCCCTTTAACCCGTATGCCATATTGTTCTATGATTTATAAACTATTTTTTCTTGTCCCCTAAACAAAAAAGGCCATCTTTTTTCTTGTCCCCTAAACAAAAAAGGCCATCTCTTAAACTACAATGTATTTTTTAAGTGTCAAAATGCCTTTTATAGTAGATGGGATTTTACAACTTAGTAGCCATTAGGCTGAAGTATACAAACTATTAGCATCATCTTCAATATAAAGGAATAAATGTTAATTAAACAATTTCATCATACTTAGCAATAATAATGAGCTATTATTCAATTTGTTTAACAAACTTGTGTGAAGAACTTACTGCATACTTGATATCATGCTATATCAGTATATACCCCATAATATGGATGAAAATGGATTCTTTGGGAAGGAGGCTTTTCCAGACTACATGTTTACTTTCTCCATCCTTCATCCCAACATGACCTGTAACAAAAGGTGTTAGTGATGGGAAGTATTTTACATATGAACTGTGTTAGATGCAGAAGAAAAGTTAAGAAATACAATATTATATTATTTTAAACCATCTCGATTTTGCAAAATGCTGAGTAGGGAGAAATACGGTTTGGAATTTAGGACCACCAATATGTTTTGAAGTTACATATACTTATTTATATATACTTATTAATATGTAATTAAAACACTTTATGGTATAAAATGTTATAGTCTAACTCTTCTCTTTAAAGAATATGGCTGAGCAAACTATGAACTCAAGATCTTTTATAGTCGAGGTTCAAAACCTTTTTCAGTTAAAAAAAAATCAAAAATGGTTTATATTTTGAAAGTATGCTTCAATGAAAACATCACAAAGGTAAAATTACTTTATCGCTCTGCGTTTTATGTTTTAATTTTAGGCAAGGCCCTGACATTTCTTCTGCTACAGCCGCCAAGCCCCAAACTTCCTCCACACAGTACAATCCGAAGAACAGCCATTGATTTGATTGGACGAGGGTTCACAGTTTGGGAGCCTTACATGGATGTGTCTGCCGTCCTGATGGGGCTTCTCGAACTTTGTGCTGATGCTGAGAAACAACTTGCCAAGTATGTGCTGGATTTCAGTTCATTTAATTTGTTGTTTTTTGCTTTGGGTTTTTTTTTTTTTTTTTCCTTGTGAGGTCATCATTTACTCTTTTTACTTTGTGTATTTCTAGTAGACAAACATCTCAATATATGAAATTTTGGATGCGAACAATGAAAAGGAAGCATGTTTCTGTAATTTTAACACAATTGAGATTTAGCACTGAGCCAATGAATGATCTGTGACATGGATTTCAAATTGTGTTTATTGTACCTTGAGATATTACTAGCCGATAATATAGTAGTACAATCATGTTGTTTATAAGGAAAGTGATATATATACTTGATACTTGATCAAAAGTGATTTACTGGTAGAATATATGGCCAAATTGAGGAATTACTCAGCTGCAGTCATATTAATTTTTAGATCAACTTTATTGAGATTTCATTTGCACATAGTAAAAGACCAGCCATAAGGTGGTTGCAGTGATCCGGGGAAGCAATGATGAGAGAGTAATGCAAGGGAAAGATGAACTGAGGGAGTTGCTAAAGTGCAGTAAGTGGGAAATTCACGTGGTAACCAACTGGCTAGGATTGTTGGGCTGGTGGTGGTGGTAGAGACAAGCATTGGCTTGAGAACTCAGCCTCCTTGTTCCTGGAAGAGTTCTGGGTTTTTTTTTTTCTTTCTTTTTTGGTGTGTAGTACACATGAGTTTTATCATTGTAACCATCTTAAAGTATACAAATCTGTGGTACTAAGGACATTCACAATGTTGTACAACCATCACCACTATCTAGTTCCACTTACTGGTCATCCTGACTAGAAACCTCATATCCATTAAGTAATCCCTTCCTATTCCCCCTCCCACCAGCCCCTGGCAGCCACTAATCTGCTTTGTGTCTCTATAAATTTGTCTATTCTGGATATTTCATAGAAGTGGAATCATACAATACATGTTTTGTGTGTGTGTGTGTGTGACTGGCTTTTTTCACTAGCATAATGTTTGCAAGGTTCATCCATGTTGTAGTATATATCAGTGCTTCATTTCTTAGCTGAAGAATATTCCATTCCATGGTTATATCACATATTGTTAATCCATTTATCTGTTGAAGAACATTTGAGTTGTTTCTACCTTTCGGCTATTGTGAATAGAGCTGCAATGAACATTCATGTATAAGTATTTGTTTGAACACCGTTTACATTTCTTCAAGTAGATATCTAAAAGTGGAATTACTAGGCCAGGTACTAATTCCATATTTGACTTATTGAGGAGCCCCAAACTGTCTTCTACTCTGGCTGTACCGTCATACATTCCCACCAGCTGTGTGCAAGAATTCCATTTTCTTACATCCTCGCCACCACTTGTTTTTTTTTTTTTTTCTTTCTTTGTTTTGCTATAGTCATCCTAGTGGGTGTGAAATGGTAGGAATTCATGAACTGCCCCGTGATGCCTCCCTTAATGAGAATGTTACCACCACTTTGATTTTTCTCAATGAATGACACTTCATTTTTGTCATTGTTAACCTTTTAAAAAACTGGAGTTCTTTACCCGTTTTTCCATGGTTGCGTTTCCCATACCCCACAGTTCCCTTAGGTTCCAGCGTGCTTTGGGCCCCCATAGTCTTTCTGCTGATTGCTGTGTGTCCAGAAGTGGAGACCAGAGAAGCCACTGAAGGCTAGAATGGAATGCTGTGGCTTTGTCTACAGATTGGGCATTCCCAGCCCAAACTCCCAAGATTGATTGGTAGGGGGCAGGTATTCATTTCAAATGTAGGCGGCTGCCCTCCCCTGTACCTCCTGTCATACCACCATAGTCCTAAACCTCATCTCTGTGTCTCCCTAGCTGTATGCCCTCCAGCAAATTACTTTACCTCTCTGCATCTACAAGTTGGGGCTGATTAAAATGCCTGTCTCACAAGGTTAACGTTAGATGAGTTTATATTTGAAAAGTGCTTACCTTAGAAGAATGGTTAGCACACATTAAGACATTAAATGGCTGTCACCTGTGTGGTGGTAGTACTGGTGTTGATGACATTTTTATGGTTCTTGTGTTCAGCAGGTCAAGAGCTGCCTATTTTCTAGAATGAGCAGTTTGGCACAGTGGTAGCCAGCATAGTTTCTGCATACAGGAGGCCTGAAGGTGCTTGATTGAATTGAAGGGTTCGAAGGCAATGTGAGCCCATGAGTTTGCACCAGTAAAATGAGGCATCTGCCTTTTGTGCGAAGCCTTAGAACATATGTTCAACTTTGGCCCTCAGGTTGGCTGCAGCTGGCATGTACACCCTCCAAAGAGTCAACAGTGCTGGCTTCTGTTCCCATAGCTCTCCTGGTTTATTTTGAGAAACCTTCAACATTTTTTGATTGTCTAAAATTTTGCTTTGACCTAATTTTGTACTTATTTTCAAATCTGATCACATAATTTGATCAGTATGCACTCTGTTTTGTTGCCTGGAAGGAGAAGCGATAGGTTTTTATTTTAAGTTTAGTGTTTAATATTTTGTTTTAAAAGAAATTTACGTTAAGCTTATATCAGCAAACTAAAGATACACTTATGCTTTATCTACGTGGTGTATGTCCACTGACACAAATACTGTAGTTTTCAGTAAGCAATTTAAATCTTGCTATTACATCCTTTTCTGTCATGAAGATTAGTATGACTTTCTGTACACAGCTCTGAATAAACGAGTGGATCAGCATGTAGCCTTGAGGAGTCCAATGTAATTTTCATCATGATAAATTGCATAATAAGCAAGAAAATGTTTGCTTATTAATCTATAACAAGATTTAGATTGAAAATGGCCTGTTACATCCATGACACACTTGGAGCAGGCTGCAGAGGACCAAGGTGGGGAGAGGTGGTGCAGCGATGTGTGCAGGGGGTTGAGTGTGCATCTTACCCTCGCGCGGCCCTGCTGGGCTGCCCCTTTTTGTGCCTGATTTACTGTGTACACAATAACGGTGCTCAGCTGCCTTGCTTCTGCCTGCGATGTTAAGCTCGCTTTATAAAGAAGCTTTTACATTAGGCTTGTGCTTTTTAAAATTTCAGTTCACATTTATTGAAAAAGGAAAAACATAGGCAGTGTTTCCTACTTTATTTCCATTCTTGTGAGTTTATGAGGACAGGGGTTTTGTGGAGGAGCAACTAGCTCAGACCCCCTCCTACTTCTGGAGATCACACATCACGGCAGAATTCCTTTCTGCCTCTCTTCTGTGGAATGACAGCCCCTGTCAGAGCTGCTTTCTAACAGTTCTCCTGAAAACCATATATGCCTCAGGATTAATAGGTATTTCTCCAGAATTGGTTGCACCTTTATTTTAGAAATAATGACTTACAGTTTTACACCTTCACAATCAAAATATCAACAGTTGCTTTCCAGTGTTTTCAGATATTTTACCAAATTGTAAACCATATTTATTAAGCAAGTATTTATTGAGTAACCAGGTATTATCAGATATTATCTGTAGTGACTAAGTTGAACCAAACAAAGATCCTTTTGTTTGCAAGACACTTACAGTCTTATAGGAAAGATAAGATCTGCGGGAGAATAACCATGACACAAAGTAAGGAGGCATGTAAAAGGTGTGGGCATTCAGGGTACAGTGAGATGAAGCACACTGGGTAACCAGAGGGAAGGAAGAGTTTAAGCTCAATCTTTCTTTTGAATGATTATGAAGAAGAAGCATAGGCTTGCAAAAGAATAGAGGTGGGACAGCACAGCATGCCCAAAAGATGTTGAGTAGTCCCTTAAAACATATGGTGGATGAAAGTAAATATTGGTTTTAACTAACTTGATTTATTAATTCCTTGCAGATTTTAAACTGGGATTATCCCATCTAAAACTCCAATTTGTTTCCCAGGTCTCTCTGAGGAATAGAATCAGGGACAGAAAAAGGATTGGTATACCTCTCACTTCATAACAATATTGTTTCGGTGCAGGGGATACAGAGGTGTGGGCTGCCGTCCTCCTATTGAATGCGTGCTATCTGTGAGTTTCTGTGCTACACATATCACTGATGTTCTCATCTAGTTACAGAGAAGCTCGAGAAGTAGGCTTTGGCATCCCCATTTTGCAGATGAGAAAAAATTAATACAAGAGAAATGCTGTCTCCTGTCCACAGTAACATTATAGTCAGTGAAAAAAATAGGATTCAAACTCAGATCTAGCTGACTCTAAAAGCCAGAGTTCCCAATACTATGACATTTTGCATTCAAAATGTTAAGACTCACAGAATTAAAACAACTTATTAAAAAGGGCATAAATGGATCAACTCAGAATTTTCAGTGTGCTTTCAGATTTTTAAAATATTTAATCATTTCATCAAGGATTGTATACCTTATAGAATTTAACAGCCTTATTTACATATCAGTATACTCCTTGAGTGCTTGTGTTATGCATTATGTGTTTATTCTTATTTATTCATAACACCTGACAAGTGATTTGCATGCAGTAAGTGTTTAATAAAGTCATGGAATTTTAGAGATGACAATCTTCAACAGCATCTGATCCATTGCTCTCAGTATGATATTATATTAAGTAAAAATAAACTTTAGAGAGATTAAACAACTTGTCTGAAGTCACATTAGTACTCTAGGAGCTAAGATTTTCAGGTTTTCTGATTCCTATTTTGTAGCTCTTATACCATATGATTATAAGGAAAGTTATCCACAGGTAAAATCTTATGTGAGAAAAATTTTAAATGAATGAGGATGGGCCGTTCATTCAGGATCAACTGTTGAATAGAAAATTGAGGGTGTACTTTATTGAAATCATAGATTGAGCCATCCCTGCTAATTGTAAGAGAAATAGAAATATATATGAAGTACTATCTTGGGGTAGATTTAAAAAAAACATTTTTTTTTTTTTTAAACAGAGTCTCAGTCTGTTGCCCGGGCTAGAGTGCCGTGGCATTAGCCTAGCTCATAGCAACCTCAAACTCCTGGGCTCAAGCAATCCTTCTGCCTCAGCCTCCCGAGTAGCTGGGACTACAGGCATGCGCCGCCATGCCCAGCTAATTTTTTCTATATATTTTTAGTTGGCCAATTAATTTCTTTCTATTTTTAATAAAGACAGAGTCTCGCTCTTGCTCAGGCTGGCTTCGAACTCCTGGATGTTGAGCGATCCTCCCGCCTCGGCCTCCCAGAGTGCTAGGATTACAGGCTTGAACCACCATACTTGGCCTAAAACAATTTTTTTTTAAGAAAAATATTAATAGAAACATATAAGATCATCTTTTTATAAATCCATAATTTTATTAGATCAGCATGGTCATGTACATACTGATTTATAAAATATTAGAAACAGTAGAAAATCCTACTTTATAAAGGATTAGAAACATTCTTGTGCTCTTAGAAGGCTAGACTTACATCCATCTTTGTTGTGGTCCATGATTGTGATTCTGTTTGCCTAGTTCATATTGCAGGGCCTGTACTCTGAAAGAGAGCAGTGCTGGCAGGGCCAGGCTGCCATCGCAGCTGAAGGACATTAGTGAGTTACAACAAGCCCACTGCTTTTCTGGGGGAGTCACAGCTTACCAAACATTAAAAGAGAAACATATCTCCCTGGAAACCACACATGCTTTGATAACATGCAGAGAAGCCATACATTAGATTCTTTTTGAACTATACAGAGTTGGAGGGGGGAAAAATTGATATTTTCACTCAAATCTCAACCATATTTCTTAAATTTGGGGGGTGGGGAGTGGAGAAAGAAACACAGCGTACAAACACTAAGATGATTTAGGATTCTATATTTAAGCTATTTTTCCTGTTCCCATGAAATTTAGTTTTAATAGAAAATTCATAATCTGAGGAAGCCTTATTAGTTTCCTGTTAGCACAGGTTTTTATTCATTGTAAATGTGTACAGCATATAGAAAATGGGTCTAAAAGATACATATTTGAAGGAGGAATTGCCACCTTTGAATTCAGGAAATTAATGCCACCTATGAGTTAAGAAATTAAGGTACAGTATGACAGAGAGGTATTGAAAATTCCTCGTTAAATTTAGGACAAATGTTAACACACTTGTTTAACCAGGAAGGGGGAGGATGGAAATCCCAGGTACTATACAATTAAGTGTGCATTTTCAAAATAATTTTAGTCTTCTTTGTTTTTGATAGAAATTGTTTTCAGTATCCCATTACTGTTGGCCAAGACTTGAGGCTATTCAATAAAAGTTTATTTTCCCCCCTGAATATTCCCTTACAGTATTCCTTAATTTGACAGATGGTGAAATCTGACAGTTTTAGATGGTGACACTTAACTGAAATATTCTTACCTGTAACTTTTAAAATGCTTTTACCACAGTGGAGGAAGCCTTAGAACAGGATTAATGAGCAATCACGTAAACAGTGAGCTCAGCCTAAGTGAACTATTTTTCTATTCATATTTTTTATTTATAATATCTGTCATCTCTAGTATTTCAGATTGGATGTGTATACTGAAATGCTGAGTAAGATAGAAAGTCTATGTCCTTTTTTTTTTTTTTTTTTTAGAATAAAGACTGAAACCAAAGACCCAGCCTGTAAGCCTGTATAGCCAATGATCCACATAGCAGGCAGATAAGCAAGATCAGATGGAAAGAGTGAGTTCCATGTTTACATGCAGGTTCCAAAATAAGACAGACTCCCCTTTAATTTCAAGCCTCTGATAGTATGATCCTTCGTTATTCAGGTAGAATCCCGCATTAAAATATATCACACACAATGCACTCTTGACTTTAAAGATAAGTACATGTAGAATTAGACTTCGTCTGTTGGGACTACCAAATCAATTACTTTGACTTCATTGCCAGGTCAATGCAGTCCAATAACTGGCTTAAGTGATTTTTTTCCTCCTACTGAATTTGCCAGCTAACTTCATTTAGTGCATAACTATTGAGCTACTACTATGTCCAACAGCTACACTAGGTACTTTGCCAGGGGGGTGCGGGAAACACGCACGATTAGAAGGTATGGTCCAAATATGCACAGAGTTCACAATATAAATCTAATTCATAAGGCCTAGCAGAATGTAACTCACTATTAGGAGTCCAGAATTAATGGGTTTGTTGTCAATTGTTTTTGTTTCAATAGAAGGTAGCTGAGTGCTATAGCAATTACAGAATACGATGTGGAAAAGACAAGAATTGAATAGAGTGGAGGGAGGAGAGTGTGCCAGTGGACAAAGGGGTAGAGGAGAAGCATTAGCAGCATACTGGAATGAAAAAAAGGAACGGAATTTTAGGGCCCAACTTTGAAATTGGCTCCTGGCCTTAAGAGCATTGATGTTAAAAAAGACAGAGTTGAAAATGAGTGGAACTAGATTATGGAGGGCCAATCTCAAGTCAGGGAGTTTAAGATTTTTTTCTTGGAAGTGGTAGGACGCCACTGGAGGATTTTACGCAGGGTAACCATGAAGTAAAGTCAATGCTTTTGAAAGACTGCTCTGATGGTGATGCGTTGAGTAGACTAGAGGAGAGACACAGGTTTCTCCTCTTCCTCTGTGCGTTGCCCACCTTTCAGCTCTCACACTCACGATCCTTTCACTTTTGCTCTGTGGATGCCTTCCAGGTCACTGCAGAGCCCTGACCTCGGATCAGCAGAACCACCCTCCTTCCCAGACTGCCACACACCAAAGAAGGGAATCACTTGAATGCACACATTGATACCTCTACAAATTGTCTGGTTTTCCAGCTTCCCCTGAGTTCAGTGGGCAGTACATTTACATGTCTTTGGTTCACTTCCTTCCCCTATTGCCCCACAGCTTCTCTTCCAGACTCACCACCCAGCACCAAACTTTACCACTTGTCTTACGGTACAAAGTTTAATTGCTGCAATGAGGGAAGGGTGATGTGTGGCTAGGGCTTTAACTTGCAGCCGGTGACCTGCTGGTAGTTGATCTCATTGCCTGGCTTCCAACCAAGACCTTGGGTTCTACGTCTAGTTCTTTCTGTTCTGTATCTTGCCTTCCAGAGGCAGGATGGGCTTGCCCAAGAGATAGACATTCCTTTTCGCTAGCCGGCTGCTTGTCAGGAATGTTGCCTGGGAAAGCTTTTCCAGCTCCAGCGTTCTGTGATTTTATTGATCAAACCAAATTTGATTTAGGTTTGTTCAGAATTATTCATTACCATTTTGGTTTGGTTCAGCCTTTTAATATCATCAACCGCTGTTCATCCACATTGATGAAAGAAAGGCAACATCACAGGGTATCTCAAAAGTTTAATTAGCTTTTGAATGTTCTAAAACTTGATTTAAATACGGGTTTATAATCTAAGTTTTACAATAATTATCAAGCAGTCCAACCCCAGCGCTATTCAGATAGTAAACATTTCATTTGCCGAATTTGCAATAGTAAATTTTAATCCAGAAAGAAACTGCCTAACTGCCTGCTCTGCCTTCCTGCTGAACACGTTTCCAGGCCCTAATGGAACCCAAGGGCACCAGGCTCTTCCGTGGGGGGTGCCCTGCCCACCAATGCCTGTTGTCTGTGTGATGTTCCATGTGTGTTCTTTCAGCTCACATCTTTCTTTTTCGTGGTAAACATCAAAGAAAAATTCCCCACATTCCTCTCCTCTGAGTTCCTGCATTGTATCTATACTCAACATGGAAAAAAGAAGAGAGACAGTTATATTATCAGTCAAAAGATTTAAGCAGTGTAATAGTCATAAAGAAATTATAAGCAGCCTTTTCTGTAATCAGTTTATCTCCTTTAACAATAATAAAAATGCCTATGAAATCTTTACACATGAAGCACATAGACTTTTTTAATTGGAGTGAGATAAATCTTAATGTATCTTCATATGCATATTTAAATATAAAAAATATATAACTAAAGAAACTATAATTGAATCCCATATTAAGTAACAGAATACTTGTATACTATAGTTAATGGGCAGATCACATGCCACATTTTAATTAAAAGTCTTACTATTTTTCACAGTGGTTTATATATAATATAAAGGAAGCTTAGAAACAAGAATATTTATCATTTTATGTAGCAGAGGTTAGGAATGAATATAGCATTATTATCCTATTAGGCCCCTTGTAGTCTCACAGTTTGGAAAGATTTATTTCATTGTGTATATAGTCTTACAAATAGCCTGGACAATGTCATGCTGTCTCTTCTTTATAAAAAGAGAATTAGTATCAGTTATATAGTTTTTGCATCAATACTAAATAACCGTTGGCAGAGCATGCTGATTAGTAGATTGGTTCCAAAAGTCTTCAGTGCAGGGTAAACTAGCAATACTGAGGATATTTCAGGCTAAAAGTACTATGCAAACTTAAAATAATTTTTTAATTTTCAGTACTTTTGATAATTTTTTAGACAGTAATGAATTTTGCTTCCTTTTAGATATATAGCCTTAAATACAGTCTTTCAGTGTGGCCTTGTAAACAATTAACTTTTTTAAGGAAAAATTCGAAAATACCCAACATGATACTCATTCTTGCTTTTTTTTCTGAGCTTTGTGATATGTATTCAATACTAGTTCTTGATAATTTGTTAACAAGGCGTTTTTAACACTCTGGACAGATGCACATACTGTTTTCAATCTTCACGGTTAATTATTCGATTTTGTATTTGATGCCAGAACACCCTGACTCCTAATCACTGCTCATTGTTGCAAGTCCATTATATTCTAACTGTGTGAGTGCTCCCATTGACCTTGAACTGACATTATAAGCTGTGTCTAATCTTTTCAGTCTATATTTCTAATGCTTCTTTTCTTTTTTTTTTTTTTTCCTTTTTTCTGATCCCTGTTTAGCATCACAATGGGGCTGCCTCTGAGCCCGGCAGCCGACTCCGCCCGCTCGGCGAGGCATGCCCTCTCGCTCATTGCCACTGCCAGACCACCCGCCTTCATCACCACCATAGCCAAAGAGGTGAGCCAGACTTCTCAGTGAATTTTTTGATACTGTTAGCTGTGGGTCTGTATCCACAAATTATCTTTCCCGTTTGTTCTAGAACCGTGCGAGCTACTAATTTAGTGCTGAAATGAATGCGTAAGTGTCTGTGTGCTTACACACTGAATTTCACCGTGGTGCATTCATTACTTGTGCTTCTGTATTCATTTCTGAGCTCAAAGTTAATTCACTTGTAAATATTTGACAGTAATTTTTCGCCCTGAAACCTAGAAGGCTTATGCAAATTCAAATGTGTTAAAAGGTGTTCACATTTTTCAAGAGTAAGTACCTACTTGTAATCAAAACTGAACTTCTTATTTAGCACTGACTCTCCAACTGTAAACAAAAAATGTAAGTCATAAACTTGCTAATTGTTTTTCCTATTACATGTCACAGATAAAGACTTGAATGCCAATTGATTCCTAGATTCTTAGTGTTCTAACTAATTGCCCACATCTAACTGAAAAACTAGTAAAGAACAATGAACCAATTATAGGATCTTTCCTGTAGGTCTTAGTAGTGGAAGAAAAAGAAAAGGATGATAAGCTCCTAAATTTTTTTTTTAAAGATTTGTTCCATTTCAGCTTGAATAATGTGCAGATTCAGTGTCCGTAGGGTATGGGCCCTGTCTGAGCTGTTTTTCCTGTAGCTATGATGAATTTTTAAAATACTAAATAAATACCTCTGAGCCCACTCTGATAACCTGAAACCTATTGGGCCCATGTCTGCCCCACAGCCATCCTTAATAGGCATGCTGTAAATATTTGTGACCTGAAGGTAGCTAGAAGGAGAGGAAGGAAGGTCCTCTTGTAGCAGCTTGTATAGGATTATGTGAGGCAGTGGGGCTTTGAAGTCATATCTAAAATAAATTTATAGACTAAGGGTGTGTGTATTTCTAATAGTGCATAGTGTTATAAGAAGGTTCTATATTTAACATATATGTTCATATTTTTATATATTTTATAGGTATTATATATTTATATGTAATACGTATATATGTGTGTATATAAAATGAACAGTTTTATTAGCTATAGAAATTTTTACCAGTTTTTCCCAACAGTGGAATATGCACAAGTGGTAATATTAAATATACTGAATAAGCCATATATTAGTTTGTCAGTTCCTTATGTTAACTGTTTTCGAACTTAATTTGTGCCATTTACATATGAGTATTTTTTTTTTTTTTTTTGAGACAGAGTCTCGCTTTGTTGCCCAGGCTAGAGTGAGTGCCCTGACATCAGCCTAGCTCACAGCAACCTCAAACTCGTGGGCTCAAGCAACCCTTCTGCCTCAGCCTCCCGAGTAGCTGGGACTACAGGCATGGGCCACCATTCCTGGCTAATTTTTCTAAGTTGGCCAATTAATTTCTTTCTATTTATAGTAGAGACGGGCCTCTCTCTTGCTCAGGCTGGTTTCAAACTCCTGACTTGGAGCAATCCACCCGCCTCTGCCTCCCAGAGTGCTAGGATTATAGGCGTGAGCCACCACGCCTGGCCTTACATATGAGTATCTTTTAATGAATTGTTAGAATACCCATTCCAGCTTTTGGTTGGAAAGATAATTTTAAAATATTTTAATATGACACTCCACGTTTATTACCTTTTAAAAACAAGTTTTCAGCCTGGTGTGGTGGCACACACCTTTACTCCCAGCTACTCCAGAGGCTGGGACAGAAGGATCACCTGAGACCAGGAATCTGAGTCCAGCTTAGGCGACATAGCAAGACCCTTTCTCTAAATATTTAAACAAACAAACAAAAAACATGTTTTCCACTTCACCTTTTAGTCTCAGAGTGTTAGAGTAAAATACTAAAGTGTTTCTTCTTATTATTACTGTTCCCTACCCTATCCCCATGCCAACCACTCCACGACTATTCCAGGGCTAGTCCAGGGCCTATTAATGTCCTTTGTCTTCTGAGATGTAAAGATTACAATTGGATGGGAGAAATCACACTGAATTTATGTTATTTACCATGCTCATTATTTTGGGAGGCATGTTTATTTGTATTTCCCAACTTGATTACAAAGCACTTAGAAAATAATACTTGGGACACAGTTAGTGCTGTATAAATATTATTTACAGTTGATCCTTGAACAATGAGTGGGATAGGGGCACCTACCCACATGCAGTTGAAAACCCGTGTGTGATGTTTGACTCCTCCAGAACTTAACTACAAATAGCCTAGTGCTGACTGGAAGCCCTACTGATAACATACACAGCTGATAACACATTATGTATATATGGATTATGTACTGTATAAACTAGAGAAAAGAAAATGTTAAGGAAATCATAAGGAAGAAAAAGATGTATTTACTGTTCAATAAGTGGAAATGAACCATCATAAAGATCTTTATCCTTGTCATCTTCACGTCGAATAGGCTGAGAGGAGGAGGAGGAAGAGGAGGGGTCAATCGGTGTTGCTGTCTTAGGGGTGCAGCTATTATCTACCTCAGTACCAAATGTACCACATCCACAAATCTTCAAGCTGTTTCTTTTTAAAAATGTTGTGGTAATAATGTATTAAGGTCTCATATACTATTGAAGAACTTAACAGAATTTTATTAGACAATACCAATTGAGTTTTTATGATATTAAATACTTTCTTTGCAATCAAAAAGTATTTCCTGACCCACGCCAAGAGGTTTGTTTTCATTAATTCTTTTTTTTTCTTCTATTAGTAAGTGAAAAATTAAACCAGTGGCTAGAAATGTAAAACTATATCAAGCGTCAGTCACATCTACAGCACGGAAATGTTTTTATAGGTACACAGACATACGGCTCTTGCAGCAAACACCCAGTCACAGCAGAATATGCACACTACAGCTCTTGCACGAGCTAAAGGGGAAATTCTGAGAGTCATTGAAATTCTTATTGAAAAAATGCCCACAGATGTCGTGGATCTTCTTGTGGAGGTAAGAATATCCTGTTTTAAATAACCTAAATTAAATATTCCAATGCAGTAATACAGATCAGCATCTTTATTTCCAGTATCTCTAAGAGAGATTGAGAGAGATGGAGAGATGGGGAGGGAGAGAGAGAGAGAACGAACTAAAGTCAATTAACTTTTGTGCCATTTCTGGAGACCTTATTTGAATTTTCTCAAAGTCAAAGTGATTTGTGTCTATTCACCATTCACATGAAATTGGTCTGTACTAGAGTAATTTTTAAATGTTATGTTCTCTTTGACATGTTTCATTATATAATAAATAACGCAAAATGTATAGTGTGCTTGAATAAAATCTACCTATACGATACATAAATATGAACTGACTTTAAAGAAAACAAATCTATTCTCTTTATTTTACTACACCATCCTTAAAATTTTTTCACCGATAAGAGAAAGGATAGCCTATAGTATACACATATTTAAAATTGCTTTTCCTTTGTTTTAAAGTAAATACTAAATCCTCTTGGGCAAATGAGGCCTAAGTTAATCATTTAAATTTTGGAAAATTGAGTATTTGAAATTAATTTTAGGTATGTATCTTTTCCGTCAAAGGTTATGGACATCATTATGTACTGCCTTGAAGGATCTTTAGTTAAAAAGAAAGGTCTTCAAGAATGTTTCCCGGCCATCTGCAGGTAAAGAAGCCTTTAATAGCATGCACAATAAGTAATTTTCAGTAACAAATAAATTTTTTGGTGTTAGTATTATAGTATTGCTCAGTTGGAAATCTCATCATGAATTAATTCCATACTTTCTAAAGTGATTTAGGCAGTGTATGGGCAAAAACACAAATAGAGTAGAATCAGCTATTTGTAATTGAGTCATGAAGATATGTTGCTCAAAACTTAAATAATGAATAAGAGATAGAATATATTAAATACCTCTGTATTCTTGTGTTCATTACTCAAATTATTATTTACATTACAAAAGAGAGTTAGGAAGCTTCTGACTTAGGGAAGAAGATATACTTCTCTGCCAACAGAAATCTTTGTGCCACATTTTCACTGGTAAATTGTATTTTTAATCTGAAGACTAATATGTTTGCATTATGTCTTATTATGGGTAGGTGTTTTCCCTATGAGAAAACAGAAAAAGAATCCAAGAAAAGTTAAAAATTTTATTTAAAAAAGTTGCATATGTTAAATATAACTCTAAGAATTATATATATATTGTATAGCATATAATTAAGAAATGAAGTTTTTTAATATTAAATGTAGTAGTATTTATTTTTCTTATTTGTATTCTTTTATTGATATATCAATACACTTTTGAAATACCAGGAAATACAGAAGACAGAAAGATACATAATGTAACATCATTGCTGTCAGGAAACTTGTAATATTATTATACAGTTTTACAATGTATTCATTCAGCAAAAATTTCATTGATATTTTGAAAGAATTTCATTGATATTTTGATACATGTATAACACTATGTAATGATTAAATCTGGATAATTGGGATATCATCACTCCAAACATTTATATATTTTTAAAAAATTAATTTTAAGTTTGGTTTTTCAAATGTTTATAGCTTGAGGCACATTTTGTTAAAAAAGGTTTTACCTTCATGTAGTCAATAGAAGTAGTATTTAAATCTGTTGAAGAGAATGGTTTTGTAGTAAACAGTACAAGTTACTCATGGTTACATAACATTTTTCTTATAAAGACAAGTTCGTTGATATCCTTACTAACTTTTGCTTATTTCTGTTAATACATTGCAGTTTAAAGCTTTATTTTAGACTATAAGTTTTCTGCGACCAATGACATTACATTATGTATATTTCTGTGTTCCGTATTTCTTGGATTTCAGCAGGTGTTTTCTGAATTCATAGTACTCTGTGAACCTTCCCATATCTTTCTTTATGTTTACAATAAGTCTTTATATCCTAGTCTCTTTATTTTGCAGTTTTTAACTTATGCAACATAGAAGTTAAAACATGAACACAGATTTAAAAAAATTCTGCTATAGCATACATGAATACTGATGCGTATTTCCTAGTGATATAGATTAGGCAAATTAGAACTTAGTAGTTTTGTTTTTTTTTTAACATTGTGCCACACTAATTCTGGTTTATGTTCTTCTTGTTAAAAATTATATGTATTAAATCTTTCATGCAGTTAATTGATTTTAAGAATACATATAGCTAAATTATTTTTTCCAGTTGATTGTTCTCTATGGAAATATCTAAGTGAAAATGTACATTTGTCTGTCACTTACTGGAGGTGATGTGGAAGCAGTTTTATTAGGGCTTCTTTTACTGACTATTAGCAGAGTGTCCTTGTAACACCAGCCACTGCTATGTACGTAAGCTGCCTGGAGTGAATGTGAGTGGACTGCTCAGTGTTTTAAGGGCACTCTGTTTTTCCTTTGCTGGAAGGACGCCTGCCTCCTCCACAAGCAGCATCCTCGGTTCCTTAAGTCACCTTAGCCTGCTGCATATATGCCCTTGTTTGCTATTGTGGATCCCTGAAGAGCAAGGATTCTCTTTATTGAATCCATTCAGTTAAGACACATGCTAAGGAGCCATGTGTCTTAACAGAATGCTCAGTATAAATTTTTTCTGATCTGGGAGAAAGCAATTGTATTTTGTTGATTAATTTAGTACTATTTATTGAATACCTCCTGTGTATCAAGTACTGGCTAGGCCCTGGGAAAATGGTGAATAAGATGATATCCTCAAGGAGCACAGGGTCTAACAGGGGAGGTAATTATGCGGACAAATGATTGTGGGTTCTGTGGTATGTGCTGGAGTAGAATTACATACCAGGGCCAGAGGTGGGCAATAAATGCAGTGCTTAACTCGGGGTGTGGGAGTCTGAGAAAGTTTCACAAAGGAGTGGGCAGACTAATAACAATATCTGTGAGAAATGCTTTAATAAAAGTGGCTGCCAAGTGGAGAGAGCAGTTTGGCCTCTGAGGGAGTGGGTTCTGAGGAAGCTTCACAGAAGAAAGAACTTGCGGGGCGGACTTTGCAGAATAATTAGGTGTGTGCCATCTTGAACTGCAGAGGGACCAGACCAGCAAACGTTTGAAGGCATGAAAGGATACAGTGAATTTGGTAAATGCTGTGTAGTGGCTGGAATGTAGGTTAAGGATGGAAGTCTAGTACAGTACCAGAGTATAAGGCTATGAATTTCATGAGGGAGTTTAACTATTAGAGCAGCTCCTCAAACAAATAATGCAGTTTTGTTTAATGTTATTTTATTATGACCTTGATGAAAAAAAAAAAAATGAATCCCTCCGAAGCCAACGGCCGGGCCGAAGTTGGTCCAAGAAAAATTTAAGCAGTTTTGAAAGTTAATATAAGATGTATATAGTGAAGACTTTGAGGCAAAGGGAAACTAAGAGTAGGAAAGCAGGACAAGGCTAAGGCGAGGTTAGAGTCCTACGTATTTGCCAGCGGTGAGCCATAAATTTTTCTCTAAGCTTCCTAGGAGCCCAGTGTGCAAAAAGAGGCAGATCTGAGTCACTGTTCAAAGGAAAGAAATAGAAAAGTTGAGTAAGAGAAATAGAACAACCTATAGAACTGAGCATGGCATTACAGGTTTTCACACATAAGACATAAAATATGTGTGTAGTTTATAAACTAGGTAGTTTTAGAGATTCTATAACTCTCATGAATGTGCTAGGAAGGAACTCACAGAAGTAAGTATTAAACAAAGTACCTTCAGTGCCTGTTAGTTGAAAGAACTGAAGGCAGAGATAGGAAAGTGAAATTGAAAAATATCTATTGCATACTTGCTCCCTGTTAGGCGCTGTGTTGAGTGATGACTCCCAAGTGTTGTCCCTGGAATTACCTGATTTCCAGGTTTCACCTGAGAGCTACTACTTCAGATGATCATGAAGTCTGGGACGCTGCATTTAATAGCCTCCCCTCGTGATTCTTATGAACACTAAATTTAGAAAACAAGTACTTTATTAATCCAAAATTGAGAAAAACAAAACCTGAATCATTGTTCTTTATGCCCGTGTTCTGTTATGTAAAACCTTGGATCCTTGAGTGCTTATTCATTTACATATTGAATAAACTCAGAATTTCTAAGGAAACACCTAAACACACTCCTTCAGCCCACACATTCTAGCGATACACCATTGGTTTTTAAAGACTTGCCCTTAGTACCATGGAATGCCTGCCAAAGACTTTAACTGCAAACTCTTCATCAGCTTTTATCTAAAACTCAGTTGAGAAATACAGAGCACTTAGTTTAAAAAACTTGTGGTCCATCTATTCCTCTAAATATTCTAGTTTATATGCTTAGATTGAGTTTAAACCATCCAAGAGGAGCACATTTGGACCAGGCTGGCTGGTCACCTTCAGCGTCATGCCTGCAGTTTTCATTGTGGAATGTTCCAGGAAGAGTATGTAAGAAACTGCCAGTGCCTTTACTGCAGGGCCGTCACAATGATGTCATTCGGTACATTGTTTAGTGTCCCTTCTGTGAAGATTTAATCAAGATATTTCTTTTAACTCTGGATGACAGTCATTTTTTTGGTTGTTTTATCCCAAGGAACCTAGATTGTGCTTTGGTTTTATCTTTTGTTTTGTTTTCTTTCCATATATAACCAGTGTTAATTTCAAAATTTACCTTAGCCATTAGACAGCTGAAAGCCAAATTCCCTGCTTAACTTTAGTAAATCATGGCTTATGCCTTTCATAATCCATTCCTAATCCATAATCATCATACCCCCAGTCCTGTTTTCCTTATCTATCTTTTTACCATATTATATTCTGTAAGCTTCCCTAAGTCCTTTATATGGTATGTGTATATATGTGTATGTGTATAGATATGTATATGAAAGACACAGTTTTAAATTTATTTCAAAAGCCATAAAAGCAAAAATAATCATTGTAAGCATTATGTCAGCTATTATTATTTTCTAAAAATAAAAAAAAGACCTTTTTGTATTAACTGAAATACCCTACATCTTCTGGAATAGTTTATGTACCTGTAGATATTTTTCTATAATGTATCTAGTAAAAGATATAAAAATCACATAATATTAACTCCTGTATAAACTTTATAGTCATAGATTTAAGTATTTCCTAATAATTCACAGTTTATTTCCAGGGATGATATTAATAATATAGTGGCATCCACTAATAATACAAGAAAATTACTTAGATTTCAATGCTCTTGAAACAATATAGCACACTTATCCTCCAAAAACAGTTATACAAAATAGTTCTACTGTCAGATTTTTCATCACTGTAACAAATAAGGCCATATTGTTATACAGGAATTAAACTGCATCCTGTTTAGCACACAGATATATTAGCAACAGGATCATAACAACCCTGAATTAGTTTTATGTTTATGAATAAGCCAAGTAAGAAGCACAATAAGGTAACATTTAAAAAATGAATTCTTGGAGATTCTCTTCCAACTCATTGGCGTTTGTATTGCTTTCCTCGATCTCCTAGGTGATCTTCAAAAAGACATATCAAGATCCAACACTCTAGATAATTATTGTCAGAGGCAGAAGTACAGTGGCTTCTGAGTAATATACATTTAATTGCTTGGAATCTAAATAAGACAGCATCCTCAGTTAAAATACCCTGGACACTTAGAAAGTAGAACTGCCTCCTTTCAAGGCTTGGGAGGATAAACATCCCTGAAGTTTCTCCAGAATTC